AACGTAAAAATGTAAATGTGGCTTAACTTGCTGCCTGCTTTAGTAGCGATTGACCACATTATTGTGAGCGTTGTCCAAAAAAGCTGCGTCCGCCATCTTGTCTCCTCCTGTCCTCCATTTTGTGAGTTTTTAAATTCTCCTTCATCTGTCAGAGCCCCACCAGGCCGTCCTGGTTCCTGCTTCAGGTGGAAACAGATATAATCTGAAGATTTTTTTTTTGTTTCTTCTAAACAAATTTTTTTTTAAACATATTTTTCAACCCTTTCAGATTTAACTTCACATAGACTATTTTAATTTCAGCCTTAAATCTAATTGCAGTCTGCTAAACTCCACCTAACAGAGTAGAAGTTTGCGGACGGAGAGCCGGGTTTATTCAACAGGGGGCTTATCTCTTAAAAACAATTTGTCCAAGTAATCAGCAGCACTCAAGTCAGACTTACGGTTTTACACCTCAGCAGCGTGAGCGGCTTTGACCTGTGGCCCTATAATGGCCACCGGGGGTCACAGAGGTTAATAGAGAGTGATGTATGAGGCCCCAGAGCGACATCCCAAAGGAGATGGCCCCTTAATCCTTATTAGGCCTCCATGTTAGTGATCCTTACCTTTCAAAGCAAACAGCACACGCTCTTTGCCGTGGGGCCCCGGCCTGCCCCCGGCGTTACACTTCTGACCTCAGGGTCGTGGCCTTTTGTTCAGAACCCTTCAGAGGATGACCTTTGGGGTCAGCTCTGTAATAGAGAAGTTGTAGAGGCGCGTGCTGCCGAGGGGCCCCTACGGTGGACCACCTCAAAGACGGAGTCAGGGCCGCAGCAGTAGTCTCTGTAAAGAGGTGTGTGTCTGACAGGCCGTTAACGTATAGCTGGTGGAAACCTGCAGCACACTCTGCAGGATATGAATAAGCTCTAATATTTAGATAAAACATATAAATGGCATCCAGGCATTGGTGGGTATAAGATTAGCTTCAGTTAAAGTACATAAATGTTTGTTAATAAATGCAAAAGATAAAAAAGACAAACATCTGCCTCTTCTGGGTGCATATCTGCTGCGGGTCAATGGACTGCAACAGCAATTGCTGTTATCTGTTTAACACCTTAATGATTGCTTTGATTACTTTTATTTTATGAACTGCATTAAATACCAGAAAGTAATTAATCCCCCTTAAAGTAAACTCCCCAAAGTTTTACTTTAGTTCCTCAAGACAAGAAAAAAAAGCCTTTTGTTTTTTCTTTGATTTGATAAAGCTTAATACCTTAAAGCAAAAAATATTTCCGCTTCAGTAGGAAAAAAATAAGTTCGGATATTTCTAAGTTTCTATTACTGTTATGTTAATATGATCAAAATTGTTTTGTTGAATAAGCAAAATAAACATTTCAATGACTACATTTATTTGGTGCTTTTATGTGTATATTTCACTGAATTCTTGTCCTCTGGGTGTGAATCCCGCTCTTTGAAGAGGCGTTTACCTGATTGAAATTAACGGGCGGCGCTTCTTTTGTTTCTCTAATGCAAAGAAAGTCAAATAGTTCATGGAAATCCAGAAATAATCATTACTTTCTTTGCAAGTTAAATGAATATAGAAGAGAATTCCTTCCAGTCTGCTGACTAACAGTGCTCAGCAACAGGTGGGAGAGGGGCAGCGTTGAGGTCCCCACATTTTCTTATAAAGAAAATCGGAGAAAAACAACAAATACATTTTTGTGTGTGTTTTTGTAATCAAATCTTTTGGTGCTTATCAAAAAAAAAAATAAAAAAATAATGAATCTGTTAAGGAACTTTTGTTGCATTGCTCTTTAATTTTTTTATTAACATTTTTTTGCACCTATAATCTATACATTTGGCTGTAAGCTGCTTCCGCGGCTGCACTGAGTGGTTACCTATGGTGGCTGTTATTGTCTGGGGCTGTGGATTAGCAGGATGACTCATAAAGACGTGACCACATAAGGAGGGGGTCTAATCAGATCTCTAGTTATTAGTTCAGGAATGAGTTAATTTTGACTGCTGCATTGCTGCTGAGAGTCCGACTGTGGTGGGGTGGTTTTTGCAGAGTTGTCTTTTCAGATCCCCTCTTGTTTAATTGAATATTTGCAGATCTGAAGGACAGTTAAAGCCTAAACTTCTTGTCTCATCTTTCTTCCCCTCCTTTTTAAACATGCCCACAATTAACCCGCTTATCCAGTCTTAATACTGCTGTAAGATTTGACTAAAGCTATGCCAAGGCCGATCACAGATCGTTCTAACCGAGAGGGTTTTCAGGCTCACAGAGATGTCATAAATGAGGGTTGTTAATATTAGAGTTTCATCAATGGCAGCATTACGCAGGCCGCTCCTTCTGGGGCGAGGCCGCCGCTGAGGGCTTGAGTGTCAGAAGTTGGCAGCCGAGCCAAAACCAAAGCTGTATCCTCGAATGAACCCGGAGCAACAGGCTCTGCCAAGTTTTTTGAATTCCTGCCACATGTCAGATGGTAAACAAGTAACTCGCAGAAACAGTGTCTTAGACAGAGGACAGGGAGCCCAGGGAGGAGACTCTACAGATCACAGATGAGACCTGCGTTTGTTTGCAACGGCCGTTTGATTTATATTCAGGATGCAGTTGTAGTGGCGTTTTGTGCTTGCAGAGGTTCCCATTGGTTCCCTTGACATGGCGAGATGTGACGTCACAGGGTGTTAGGGCCGGTGACTATCTGGTGCTCGACCTATTTTTCTCATCAAGGGACAGAAGTGTGTTTTTATCTTAAAAAACCACAAAGAAATTATGTTTCTATCCCTGCTGCTAATCTCAGTCTCTCTTTCTGCTCCTGCTTGTCATCTATTTAGATATGTGGAGATTTAAGCTGAAAAGAGGAGACTTCCCCTCTCTCTCTCGGTCACACAAGCAGCAACGTAACATAACGCCTTTTTCTTTCACCCTCCAAGTCTGAGCAGCCATGTTAGTTTGTTCTGCTGTTCCTCGTCTTCCATGGAAATTGTACAAAAAACACATTTCCGTCCAAATTTCCCCGATCGTTTCATCTCTTCGAACTGTTTGGGCAGATTTACCTCAGAAGTTGGGTTAGATTTGCTCAAAGATGTGAGATCCCAGTTAGTTTTCCCGTCTCTTTTGTAGGGCTGCTACTTCAGGGAGAGCAGAGAGAGGTGGGGGGGGGGGTTGTGTGCCTGTGTGGAGTTCTGGTTTCTTTTGGGAAGGAGATGACTGCAGGGGAGGGGAATTGCTTCCAAAAGAGAGGAAGTTATCTTCTGTCGCAGCTACGAGGCATCACCGCGTTTTGGACAGTTTTTCAAGGGGGCGTTGGGGTGGCATGCTAAGGCAGAGGTGAGGCAGGAAACAAGAGGGTTGGCGTCTGGTCCTGAAAAACAAAACCAGAAAAATTGGTCTTAGTTTGAAGCAGAGTATAAATGGGAGAGAACCGACTGGACTGTTTGCAGCAAAGTCAGGGGGTTGCCCGGTCTCGGCACATGCCGGGCACACTGCGGTTAATATTAAAGCGCTTTTATTGGAGGGCTGACTGTTGCAATCATGGCGGCACACCCAGGTGCTTATCGGCCATTGACCGCATGCCAAAGCAGTCAGTGCAGCTCATTAATGTGTCCGTGATGAAGGAGGAAAAAAAAGGAAGGAGCGTTCAGAGCTGACGTTTTCTCTGGCCTTTATTACTGGAACGCCACTGGTTCCTCCCTCCCTGAGAGGTTTACTGGTAGAGGACCTATTCAGGTCCAAAGATTTATTGTGAATCTCCCAGCTAGCTGAATCCTTGAATCACTTATAAGTTTGTGTGCTTTCTCTGACAGTCCTGAAGGAGAGGAGCTCCTGACCGTCCCCCCCTTTAGCTCCCTCCCTGCCCTGCCTCATGCACACGTACGTCGGCGGACTCGGTGATGAAAACGCGTAGCGTGCACACTCCCACACGTCCACTGTTTCATCATCAGCTGAGCTCTTTCTCCTCCACTCACAGAGCTCGTCCCCTCCCTCTCCAGGCTCCCCTCCCCTCTTGGCTCCTGCTTCGGTTTCTATCCATCGCTCCTCGCCTCCTCCTCCTCTTCTTCTCTCTCTGAGTCCTGGCCACATGCGAGAGGCTAGACTAGGACACTGCAGCTCGGAAAAAAAGAGGGGAAAAACGCTCTGTTGCTATTTCTACAGGCAGGCCCTCCCCTTTAGCTACCCTGTGCCAGAAGAGGGAGGGATCCTCCACTAGTTCTGGGATTTTAACCCTCTGCCTACTCTCACTTCTTCTCTCTGCAAGATTTCTTCCTCAGTTTCATGCAACAAGTGGCTTTACTTTACCGCCTCTTTGCCGTTTTTCTTACACTGATTTTTTTGTTGCTAAATGGACTCGAAGTGATCTTGGTTTTGCTTTATTCTCTTCTGAGCACGTGCTTCTTCGTTGCACTTTCTCACGAGTGCCTCCCACCCCCTCACGCAAACTCGAGGACGAGCGTTTAACCGTTGTTGGACCGGCCTTGGGGATCGTGTTACTGAGCATTTACCTTGAATTCTCCTCTTATATTTTCCCATGCTCTTATCTGCTTTGCCCTCCACCTTCCATCTGTGGAAACCGGTCCCTCTCTTTGGCTTCTCTGCCCCACCCTCCTTTTTTCCCTTACGATCCCCCCCCCCTCTCTCTCTCATGGGCAGTCTTGAGTGAAAGGGGAGCAGGAGGGTGGAGCAGCAGCCAGGCTTTTTCTAGGACAGGTGCCAATTTCTATCAAAAGCCTTAAAAAAAGGGATAGAATCAAGCCACGAGGAAAGAACCTGCACAGATGAAGAACTGCTCTGCAGCAATACCACGTGTATGAATGTGTAACTATTCTGCTCTTGCTGAATCTTTTTCCCTTTTTTTTTTTTTTCCACGGCAGGCATGAGCAGAAATGGAGATCTTGAATTCTCTCGCTCTCGTGAAGGCATTTGAGTTTGGAGCTGGGATAAGAGGAGGGGCAGGGCGAGTTAGGGACGAGGCAGATAGGGAGGAGGTGGAGCAGAGCTTTTTTTTTTTTTCTCCCCCCTTCTCTCTCTCTCTCATTATTCATGTTCCCGGGCCCCGCTCTTCGCTCTGACTGGCTGCCTGGCATAGCATTCATCCAACATTCAGCAGCTCTGTTTGCTAACATTCCTCATTCAAAGCCCGGTTAACTGCCAGACGGGAGGAGCACGCGACTCTATAGGAAACCCACATGGCCTCCCCTATTGTGGTGGGCCCGGAATCGGAGGTTTAAGGGACGGAGAGGAGCAGGATGTGCTGGTTTGTGAATATGAGACTGTTATTCGAGGTTAGGGAGGGTTTTTCGAATTGTATAGAGCGTTTTGGCGATTGCAGAGGTAAATCTGTGGCAGAGAGGGGAATGCTGATGTATGAAAAAGGCGTTGGGCACAGACGGAGGAGGCTGATACTTTCCGGGATGCTGAATGGGTCTCACGTTGGCGTGCCCGCCTACTCCTTGCAGCGAGTGCAGAGCTGTGTGACTGAAGCTGAAGCTCCCTGTCTCTGCCCCTTCTACAGGAAGGATATGTGGGCATACTGTGCTGCCTAGGATGTGCCCGGCGGAGAATACAGCAGTTTTATCCCGGATAGCTGATTCCAGTCTCTCCAAAGATGGTAAGTCAGACGACGTTCAGTTCAGGGTGTTCAGCGTGTGTCCAGAGGTCTTTTCTTTTGACAAACCAAACGTTTCGAGCTCCATCTTCATGTATCCAGTCGGACGAGGCTTAACATGGCGTATCTAGGAGACTTCCTTAATCTCTTAGCATTTTCTTTTTGTCCGGAGTCTAGTTTTGCTTCCCGGATCAGTGTTTGAGTGAGAAGTCTTCACTGAGGGGAGCAGAGAGGGGCCAGGGCTGAATGTAAGGCTGAGGGCCAGACAAGGCCTGCAACACAAGGCCAAGCTCATTCACCATACATTGTCCGTCTGTACATCCCGGTTTTTCCTCCCTCAATCCTGCGTTTATCGTCTAGAAAGCTATTAGCCGTCATTTAAGCCTCATTTTCGGTTAATATCCACATGTTTTCTACTCATAATAGTCGTGTAAATGTAAGGAAAATGGGTCGCGCTGACACGTGGCTCCCCGCCGTTTTAATAAAGCCAGAACAAACCTATTAGAGGTACGCTTTACAGTACTTTTCTTTTCAATATGGCCAACCTTAAAGTGGCTTTTTATTGACTTTCACTGCTAGAAATCAGTCTCTCCTTTTTAACTTGTGGTATCCGGGTAAGGGAATCAAATCTGTGAATTGTCCAAATCGCGAAAAGATGGATGCTGCTACATCCAAGAAGAATATGGACTGTGAATTTTGCTGTGTGACGTTAGATTTTACACATAATTCAGAAACCTGAATAACACCACACCCCCTACTAAACACCATGAAGCATAACATCTTCTAAACAAAGCCCGTAAATCAGGTTTTTTAGCCCTCAGCAATTGAAAACTACATTTTTATTTTTTTTTATCCCTATTGATATAGCTTCTTGTTGCACACTAGAGTCGACCTTGACCAAACGACAGAGGAGTGGAGGAAGCGTGAGTCATCCCAGATACCTCCACTCTCCTTCCCACCTACATCCCACGTTTGACAGGCCCTATTCATCTGTCACTCTCGCACTACAGGGCCTAGCACAGGCTACTTCATCACTGTCACCATCACAAGAGGCTCCTGATGTGGCTCCCCTTGTTAAATGGCTCCAATGCTTTTTTCTCTGCAAACCTCGGTGAGGTGAAATTAGGAGGTAAATCAGTGATGTTTGGACAGGGAGGACGTCATTGTTGGACTCCAACGGGTCCACAAGGAGCAGCAGTAAAATCCAATATAGCCTGTTGTCTTTTCCATTTCCTCTTTTATATTAACCTGCGTTACAGTGTTGAAATACACTGTGGTACGTAGCCTGAACTCGTTTCCTTTAGCTTTTTGGACTTTTAACAGCGGACGGTTCCACAAACGGGAAAAAAAAACTACGCTGACAAAGTGCAGGCGCATCATATATAGAAACGCGCACGTTTTATTTAATGTTGGATTATATGTTTGTCGGGAATAACAAAATGAGACTCGCTGGTTATTTCTTTTGAAAAATATTGTTCTTGCATAGAAATTTAAAGGAGAAAAAAATTCTTATTGTGGTTTGAATTCAACTTTTATGACGTACATTGTTTAAAGAAAAAAAAAAAAAAAAGCAGCACCAGACACACAGGACCCAGTCTTTCACACACCCAGACACATTTGATGCTATGTACCCCACAATGAACCGAGCCTCCTCAGATGAATGGGGTTCCCACGCCTCTCCTAAGGAGTGCAGGGCACAGCCTCCTCCTTTGAGCATTCACACACACCCACAGTACACACACTATAAAGGGCCTCCCAGTCTTTCATAAGCAAGCACACACAGGTGCATGTGAGTATGATGCAGTGGCACACATGTAGTTAAACGAAACATTTCTGTAGGCAGGGAGAGACAAGCTTAAATGGTTATTTGTTATTCTGAACACGTTGATAAAGGTTCGGTTTTAGCCACAGAGTCAAACAGGAGGATCTTTGTGGCAGTTTGGCCCCAAAATGCAAAATCGTTTTATTTTGTAATGAGGAGAAACAGGAGCTAATGAGGAGGGAGATGCATCAGGATGCATTCAGTTCAATTAAACTTTACTTTTTAGTTTTTCTGCCAGTGTGTGTGTATATATATGTATATATATATATATATATATATATATATATATATATGTATATATATATATATGTATATGTATATATATAGGTATATATGTGTATACGTGTATATGTGTGTGTGTGTGTATATATATATATATATATACACACACACACATATTTATATATATACGTATATATATACACACGCACACATTTATATATATATACGTATATATATATATACACACACATATATTTATATATATACACACACATATATATAGATATATATGTATATATATATATATATATATACACACATATATTTATATATATATATATATATATATATATATATATATATACATATGTGTATATATTTTGGTGTGTATATATAATTTAAAAAGCAAGTATTAAAGTAAAAAGTAACAAGTAGAAATTATGCACCTAAAATAAATGAAAATATTTATTCTAAATATGAATTTTGACAGCAGTTATAGAAAAATTAATTTAGGATTTTTCTTTTTTCTGTGACTTAAATAGAAACGCTTCAGTTGGCGAGTTGGATTTCTTTATTTATAATAATTTAATGAAAGAGCGCATATAAATAAATTAAAACAATGACGAAACATGCCTAAATATTTACACAGGATAATTTTTTTCCTTTTATATTTACCGCTCGTTGCTGCTGTTTTTTTTGTTTTTTTTAATACATATTTTTTGCTGCTGTGATTTTGGTATTTTTTTTCGTGACCCACAGCTTAGGGATAAAATGTAAATTGTTTTTAAATAAAGTCATTATTTAAGCTCCTGTTGTAGTGTAACAGGAGATTTCCTGAAATCAGAGATAATTATAAGGCTCCTTAACGCTGGCCACTGGTCCAGAGTGCAGTAATGAAGCCTTACTGTGTTAATTCAGTTGCATCATGCTGATGTGTGTAACATATGTACCATCAGCAGTAATGGATCACTAAAGTAGCTGTTTGGCAGATTTATGACCTGAGGGCTACAGACACACCTTGGTGTGTGCGATCATTTTCATTTTTTTTGCATAAATGCCTCGAAAGCCCAAATTTTATTACTGTGTGTGTGTGTGTACATAATCCCTGCTCTTCTCTTTTATTCACAGGCTCATTATTTTGGAATTACAGGAGTTTTCCTGGCTGGAAGTCAAAACCAAGGTTAGTTAAGCATATTTTCTCTGTTTTAGTAAAAAAAAAATGTATATATACATATATATGTACATAATGCTTTTTAAAAGTTGCATGCTTAGTTGTCACGTGTGTGTGTGTGTTCCTGGATTACCAGATTCCTGAAAACCTCTCGGCTTGTTGGTCTGGAGTTTAAAAATTTGCTATATTTGTTTTTTTTTGCTGGAAGCTGCCTGCAGGCATGCAAACACAACTTCCAGTTTGTCTTTAATTCGTCAAACAAAATCGCTTTGCAGCACACAACAGCCAGCAATATGCGTCTCGTTAAAAGTCAGCTTGTGTGTATAAGTTAGCATGTGCAGCAGCACCGAGATAATCTCCTGGAGGGAAATTAGTGGTGGTGGGAAAAAAAAGGGGGGGGGAGGAAAGAAAAGCCTTCAGCCTAAAGGTCAAATGAAGATTAGAGGGAAACCGTACACGAGTACACGCTGGCCTGCACCCCGGAACTGCACAAAGGCCTCATTGTGACCGAGCTGCCCTGCTCAGACCCTCCGCCTTCTTAGGGAGACATGACACCTGTTGGCGGTTTTAGTCAACTGCACACAAAGCAACTGATGCTCAAACTGTAAGCTTTTAACTGCATTATAGCCACAATTTCATCCAGTTGATGCTTACAAAACTACTTTATTTCAGGTTGTATGCATTTTAAATTGTCATTATTATCTGCTGCTATTTTTTCATAGTTTAGAAAATTTAGAGGAGTCCTAAAACAAGAGATCGGGTTACAAAACAGATTAAAAAATATATCTTTTGTACTTTATGTATACTTTATATACATAAAGTACACTTTATGCATTTTTAATCTTTTTGCTGGTTTACTTTGTGGACCATTGGATGGATTCAAACACAAGTTCTTTGAAGGAAGGGGTAGTTTTTAGATCTAGCTGAAAATAAAGGAACTACAAAATTAAATGTGTTATATTTCCCTAATCTGTGGTGGAGTTTCTAATTCTAAAAGTGGGAAATTTGATGCAATTTGATGTATTAATGGACTGAATAATTATGGATATTTGGATTCGGTGAAATACAACATAAATTAAATTTTGATTTTGAGCTGCCGATGACCATTTAGAGAAGATAAAAGAGAACTGGTTGAATAAATTCGCTGACTGACTGGTGCATATCTAGTTGTAGCATCTTAGTCAACAAAATCCAGTTTTTCTGCCTTAAAGGTATAGTGAATGATTTTTGCAAATTGTTGAAAAGTCCCGCCCTATTAATTAAAAATAAAAAAAAAACAAAAAACTAACATGCCTAATCCTGTACCCGTTTCCACGAGGGAACGCCTATTGAACACGTGTGAGAGCGTGCACTACACCATTTCTCCTCGTGCACGCTGTTTAAAAGATGCTCTTTGCTTCACTCAGACAAGCTTACTTTCCAATAGAAGATTTGCAATTTTACCACCATGTCAGACTCACCACCAGTGAAAGTGTGGACAATCTCGTAGGACGCCTTACGTAAACTTTTCACCAGAAAGACTGAGAATTAGGAGGACCACTTATTTTGATGATCCACCTGGAAAAACAACATCCTGCACTATACCTTTAAAAAAACTCTGCACCAATAGTTCTAGGCTCGGCTGGTGCTAAAATATCAAAATGCAGTGAAACCAACTTTTTACTGCAGTAAATATGCAGCCTGCTTTAAATAATCTACTTTTATTATTGGATAATAAATACCTTAATTGTGCATTAGAATTTTAATTAAAAAGCAGTGAAATAGCTCTTTATCGCAGCTCCTAATCAGAAACTTAACCCCCATCCTCTTTTTGTTGCTTCATTTGATGAGATAACGGACAGATATCCATTAAACCTTTCAATATATTTCCTTCATATCTCATTATGTTTTTTAAATTGTTCAAACTGCATTTATGTACTTTAAAGCGTTAATAGCTGAATCGTTTGAGTTTTATTGACATATGGCACCAACGAGCCACGTTATGTTTAGGATTTTAAAGAGCTTAAAAAAAAGAGGCCAAACTATACGCTTAGAATATTTATTTGCCTTTATAAGTTAACCAAAACTCCTTTAGACAGTTTATTGCATCAGTATGTAAAGAATGCATCGTGCTTGAACGGATGAATTAGGAACTATATTTTGAAAATGTATTTCTAAATATTACTTAAAAACAGGCAACAAGATTTAATGATTTTATTTTTTCTTGATATATTGCCGGTTATATGGGGCATTTGTGCTACTGAATAAAGAAGGTCCTGTGTGAAGGATTAGCAGTGAAGGCGCGAGCCGCTGTATACCTCCCAGGCTCGGACGTTTAGTGGCTCATTCAGGGGATTTGGGTGGCATTTATGGGATAACTGAAACTGCTATAAAACAGCCGCAAACTGGTGCATGCGTGTGTGTGTGAGACAGGAATTAATGCAGTGAGTCACTTTTATAAGTTCAACCCTGCCTTGGTCTCCTGTCGCTCCTCCACTGGAAGGGGGAAACCGCAGCAGAGCCACAGCGGCGGAGCCCTGTCTCACTCAGGAAACTCCCTGGAAACCACCACAACCTGTCTGTGTGACCTCTCATGCACTTCACACATGCATACTTATGCCTATCTGCTGCATCAATGCAGAAAAGCTCAGACAAATAAACAGTTTTTGTGAAATTTGGGTTATTTTTTTGTTTTTGCGTAACAAAAAGAGTCTCTAACAGGGTTTACATTATTAAGAAATATAAGATAGATCATTTGCATGAAGCATTGTTAATCATGTCCGTGTCTGTTCAAAGTATCCAAACACAAACACTTCAATTCACCTGGATCTGTGCGAACAGCCATGTTGACACAATACGGCGACACACAGGAAGCGAGAGTATGACCTTTGGAGTCCATTGTGACACGCTCTCTCTGTTCTCGTTTATCAGTTTAGGAAACAAGAGGAGGCGAGCTGATGCAGGGAGCGCTCAGACGTGACACTGCGGGGAGGAAGTGACGTGCAGGAAGCAGTTAAATATTAAACTTCATCAAAAACTCAGAAAAAAAGAAGACATTTAGCCACACAGGTAACGGTATAATTATGGGTGGAAAAATAAAATTTTTATTAACAGAATATAGATGATAACAAGGATTCACAGCTGATACACACAGCTTTAAAAAACTTGAGTGAAAATAACATAGTATTTCACGGTCTTTACTTCAATAGCTGTGAAATGTGTGCAAAAAAAAAATAATTTGATCAATTATTCCTACTGCTAAGAAAATGAAAACACAAAGTTTATAACAGTTAAAACATTATTTATATAAATGATTGCTGGTGTTCCTTTCCACATTATTACTCTTTATATACTACTGTGTGTTGGGATTATATTGAATATCTTGTAGGTGCAGCTAACTGGCAGTGTGCAGCAACAATAAGGGCTTCACATCCTTTAAGCTAAAGCGGCAGAAAATATCCAATCTGCAGCTTTTAGTGACATATTTGTGATCCGTATGTTTGCGGGTTGTTTGTTTTTTCACAGGCGAGACTTCAGACGATAAACAAAGCAAAGGCGGCGTCTGATAAACTGTCCTTTGGGGTGAGGTAGTAGGTTGTATAGTTTTAGGGTCATTCCCAAGCTGTCAGATGACTATACAACTTACTGTCTTTCCTGAAGTGACTGTGATGCCTTCAAGATGCCATCAAGAGCTTTTCAAGATCATCATGAAACCAAGTCATACGAGTCTGAACCTGGGAAATGCTCTACAAACCTGTGGAAATAGTTTTTTTAATTTTTTTTTTATATGTCATAACGTAGTTGAATTATAGAATTAAATCTTAAGTTTATTTGTTTAGAAAAGTACAATGTCCAGCCAAAGCGGATGATTTATTTTAAACCCTTTAGAAAACTCTTTGATATTCTGCAAATTATATATCTATGTCTTCTGTTTAATTGCCTTTACATCCTTAAATATATATGTTCATCATTATCGTTTTAAAAAATCTTTGAAAATGTCAATTGATCCTCGTCATTGATTTGTGTAAAAACGAAGCCGTTCTGCCTCCATTCATGCGGCGGCAAACTTCCGCCTGACGTCTCCATTCAACTTGAGACTTGTGGTGTTCGCACAGGGTGAGGTAGTAGGTTGTGTGGTTTCAGGGTTGTGATTTTGCCCCATCAGGAGCTAACTATACAACCTACTGCCTTCCCTGGAGGGCAGCAATACGTCACAGGAGCACACACTCCCGTCCGCCATATTTCTGATGACGCCCGCTATGCATCCGTGTTTGGTTTGACCCTGAACAGGTAAGTGATGCTGCTTCATCCCGTGTTCAATGTAACCTGACTCCTTGAGCAATTTTAACAAACACTGTATGCTTGCTTCATTCATTCATTTGCTTTGTACTTTTCTGTTAATCAAATAAAGACATATGAACAGTAAAAAATGACTGAAGTTGGATCTTTATGCTCTAAGGATTCTGTAGCAAAGTTAATTATTATATTTTCTACTTGAACCCTGCTATTTTAATCCCTTTAAGCAGCTCATTATATAACAAAGCTTATCTGAAAAGCTTCTGAAGGTTATCTTCCATCTGTCTCCATTTATTTATTTTAAATCTATCTTCTGGCAAATTAAAGCAATTCACTTTTTTATAGATTTCAAATTTCCAACAGATGAAAAATGTGACCTGTTAGATTGGAAACATTTAAGGTTTAAATTTTCTAGAAGATAATCTAGACTTATAGCAACATAACGTCTTATAATAGTCCACAGTTGGATCACAAATGGAGCAGTGGGTCAAGGTAAAAACAAAGCGGAAGCAGAAACGCCCACCTCTTTGTCTAAAACACGCAGAGCCGCCTTCCAGGAGTTTGGAAGTCAACAGGAAAAGATGACAGCCAAAAGGTTTGCAGTTTAAATCCCAGGATGGGATGAGGACACATTTGAATCAGTGCCATACATTAATTTACAGTAGATGGCGCCAGACGCTGTCGCTGTTTGGAGGGCATTTCCACTGACATTTGGAGGTATGCAGTAAAGATTTTACTCCACAGATCCAACTACTGGCAGGACTTTTTATTCAGACTGAGTTTTCCTTAAACATATTGAAATATTATTAAAGTTTCATGGTGGAATTATGGAAGGCTATCTTATATTATTTAATAGTCTAAATAGTCTCATTTTATTAAGCAAAAAATAAAACTAGCAAACATAATATTCGCCTAAATTGTTTTAACTACTTAAGATTAGAATATTCTATATTAATATATAGTACACTTTATGTATGGCATTAACAACATTCATTTATAAAAATAATTCTTACAATTGGCTAAGGACTTGGTCTTCCTCTGATTGTTTTCAAACCACAGATCTGATCATGCCGCACTACAGTATAAAAACCATATTATTGAGAATATTGGAGGAGAAATACTGCATATGCTTCTAATATATGGTGTATCGATAAATACCTTAATTGTGCATTAGCACGTTTTTTAAAACTGATATATATATATATAGAATAAATCCTTTTGATTAAATTAACACTGTCCATTTTTAAATGCTGATATATAGATTTACTTACAACTTAATTTTTTTTTAAAGGGAAGCAAGCACCAATTTATTTGTAAACTTTTTATTCCTCCATTTTTTTCCCCACATTTAAGCACGTATGGCTTAACCTACAAATTTGTTGGCTTTATTCCCTTATCTTAATTTTTAAAATCTATTTTCAGTCAATCTTTTTTTTTTTTTTTTTTTTTACTGCAAATACAGTCTAAATGTGTGTTTAGTAATTAGTATTTTACAAGGCTACCATTTTTGAATTTGCTATTTATATTTAGGTATTTTTGGTCTTCCATAGATTCACAAATTGGAATCTAATGATGCAAATAAGCCATAATTATTCAAAAGTAATATTCACTGATATCATTGGATGTTAAAAACATATTGTTTTTGTATTTATTTTGAAAGTTAAAGTAGTTTTACTATGGCTGTGATGCCGAGGTTTGAATCCTGGTTGCGACAGGAAAGCGTAAAAATGGTCAAGTCTGAGTATCTCATTCTCATATGAATGTGAGAGCAGCCAAAAAGATACAAAAATAAACAAAAAATATATTAAACTAACTGGAACTTCCACAGTGGGCTCACAAATCAAATCAGTCTAGCAAAAGTCAGTAATGTCCTTTCCTTTTTGATGGATAACAATAAAAAAATAGTATTGTCTAGGATGTTAATGTGAGAATAATAAAAAAGAATAAAAGTATAAATACCATGAAGTTTAAAGTAATGATATACTTAACTATTAGATTCTGACAGTTTTGGTCTTCTATATTTACTTGCTCCACCATTTATTTTTTATTTTTTTACTTTTGACACAAATGCCTTTTTTTTTTTTTTACTTTATTTATATAACAAACCAATAGTGTAAAAAGACTCTTTGAGGTACAAACATTACAACATGGGTAGAAAAAAAAAATAGGCAGAACATGGGGCTAAAAACAAGAACAGATACATAAACAATAAAGCCAATGAATAAATATTGAGCAAGATTTAAAACAAAAGAAAAGTAGAAATACTTTTATGGCAGAAACAGATTTCAAATGTTTCAATGAGGTGTAATACAATTTAAATTGGTTAAGAAAAAATTCAAAACAAGAAGTAGAACCTTTGCATTTACAGCAATGTATATGATATTTGACAAGCAAGAAAACAATATTAACCATATCCGGAATTTTACTATCAGGGTCATCAACATAATGCAACACGTGGGTGATTATTATTTCTTGGATGAATTGCAACTCATAGCTGATGCAGTAGCGAGACAAGCCAATCACCAGCGTCTGCTTTTGGATTTGCGCCATCTGATTGGTTGGCTCCAAAGGTGCGTCGGTGGGCGTGGCCTGCTGAAACAGAGACGCAGATTTTGACATGTAGGGAGGGTGAGACGCGTCAAGGTCCTGACGGAGTTGGTCACAGGATCAAAACACCTCCCTCCCTTCCAGTAGCCTCCTACAGACTTTCAACATAATCTGGAAATGCTTTGAGAGGCAGCAGCTGAGGTAATTATTAAAACTAGTTATTATAAAAAAGCAAATGTGAATGACATTAAACTCAGAAAGTTTTGCTTTGGGTTTCTGATTTTGTGTTAAACACGACCAAGACTGAAAATACTAAATTTACTCCTAATGTAACTCATAACATATATAAAAGACTACATTAAAGCAATATTTAACTTTTTAAATGTTGTTTTCTGTTATTGCCAGTGTTGGATATTAAGTAATAAGTGATCCCAGGCTTAGATTGGACCTTAAACTATTAACTATCAGTCACAGTTTTATACTTTCTGTCATCTGGTAACATGCTTTCTTGAGGTTAGTACGCGTCAACCACTTCTGCTTGTTTCCATTTCTTCAGTGTCTCTAAAGATAGAGCACACAGGGGAGTTCAAAACAATGGCCCTCTGAGGGGATGGGGAAATGTAGGAGGTGGGCTGGGGTCATCCCTAAGAAAGGAAGTAAAGTCACTCAGCAAGGTCGAAAACACAGTTGGTGGGTTGTTTAATAATTGCATGTAGCAGAGAGACCACTGCTTTTTCGGTAATATTGTACATTTTACAAATATGTAACAAATCTTGTATTTAGAGTAGAATAGAATTGCATTGAAGAGAGATTTTGTTGGTTGCTCAGGTTGGTACAAATATCCCCCTGGGAGGTGCAAATTGATGCATGGTCAGCACAAAATGTCCAACAGCATCGTGCAGGGCCTCTTTCTATTCCCCAAAGTGGGAATATTAAACAACCAAATCTCTAGGGCAATGTTTTCTAGGCCAAGGACCCCAAAACTGATGGCCAGATGGAGCGGGGACTCCCTAATTACATATATTGTATGAAGTTGTGTTTTATCACACTGGTCCTATAGTCACTCTATTACAGATGGAGTCAAGTAATGAAAGTAATTTCGCCCTGGGATTATTAAAGTATTTCTGATTCTGACTCCTCATTAATGGGACAGGTGTTGTGGATGAAACGGTGCCCAGCTTGAAAGAGCTCCTGTGTGTCTCTGAATGTGTGCATTGATGACTGATTACTGACTGTTTACTACAGTCTGTTGAATTCATGTTAATGTGGATTTAAAGACATTTCAATTAGTAGGAAAAATTGCAGGAGGGAATATAAAAAAAGTCTAATCAACCCAAACTTTCACGACCCCCGTGCAGTCTCTCCGCGTACCCCCTAGGGGTCACAGACCCCTGTTGAAGACCTCCACTCTAGGGGCATCAATTAGTGAAATGTTGTCCGAAAAACAATCTTCTAGAAAGGCCAATTTGGTAATTCTACAACAGAAAGCTTCAAAAGTGAGATGGTGAAATGATCATAGCCTGGTAGAAACACTGAGTTTCAGAGTTCCCCTCACTTTCCGCTGCAGGGCATTTCAGTCTTGGTTAGTACAAAATATGATAGAAGTGACTGAATGTTCGTTTATTGAAAAACTGCCCTTTCAGGCTTATAGTTGGTATCAAACGTCCAACAGTAGGCAACCCAATTTATTACCAAATAAATTAGATGTTTAACAAAAGAAAACCACAAAAGTTTGACTTGATAAAAGATTGGTTCAATGTGTCACTCCTCAGGAGGTTCCATTTAAAAAGATGTAATAAAATAACAAAAACTATAATGGTACAAATGTAGAAGGGGTAAAATGACCAGACTCTGGCTGTAAAACTCACCTTTCCCTCACTATCCTCAGCAGGGCTGACTGATCTAGGGAAGAACAGATGGATTTTTCTAATTTATCTTATTTATTTAAGATAGTTTGGCTTTTCTTTAAAAAAGACTAAGCTTAGATGATGACTGTTAGAAGGTTAGAGTTGATAAACGTCTTTGAACGGTAGCCAAATGACGAACTACCATCTTCATGAACTTGCCTCCAGACATATGGCATTGCGGAATCTCTGTTGACAGCCAGACGCTTCAGTCAGTCAGAGGTCAGATTCCTCACATCAAAGCCCCTTCACTGACCAGCAGCTGTCTCTAGGCTTACTGTACCTCATGCCAATTTCTCTGTACATCATATATTATCTAACACATTAATAGACACAAATTTCCACTCCGTCTTTAAACGACTCTAGACTTCTGACAGGACTGGTTCCCTGAAATGTTGCAACACAGAGACTAGACAAACAAGAACGAGCATGTTTTGATCAGTCACGTCGTTAACGTCTCCCAGCAAGAGTCCAAAGAGGCAGCATGTTTCACCATATTAGACATGATTTCACTCAAATCAATACTTTCCAGCATTAGTTCATCAGGCACGTGTTCATGAATGTAAACCAAACTTTTTCAGCAAATCTACCAACCTTTCAGTCATACTGAAGATACACAGTAAATATTTTGAGATAGACAGGATGTTGTTTGAGTTTTTTCAAAGATCATTAACAAGATATTTATTTACTACTGTAGCAATGTCTGATCATATGTACCAGAGGAAGATAGAGAGCGTGTAAAAGATAAGTAGCAGCTCCTTTACAACCCTCAACAGGATGAATAGAATATGAATGAATGGGTAGATAATGAGCTGCTGTTGACTCACTTATCAATCATTTTATGACCGCTTTGTGCAGTGCACTGGAACTAGGCACAGCTCGACAATCTATGTCAGTTTGAATAGATATGCACTGCTTACAATTGCTTTGTTAAAGGAAATTCCACTTCCAACCAAGTGATCATGGCAGAGATCAGAAGGTTAATCCTTCTTCCTACTATTCAAGAAGTTAGTGTTGATAAACTGATGGTTTAATAAAATGCAAACCTTTTTATCAGAGATTAACCCTTTCTCCTCTGTCCTTTTGTTATAGTCTGAAGAGTGATGGGTAATCCCTATAGATTTTAATCCCTTGTCTCGAATATGGCAGCTGATTTCTACAGTCCCCCATCCCCTCTCGGGGAATCTCTTCTGGGCAGTCCGCTGTGTGGAGACCTGATAGGAAATCTTCCAGACTTTTCTCAGTCAATCGAAGATGACTCACTGGGATTCGATTTCCCAGAGTATCAAACCACTGGTTCTGGATCCAGCGTCTCCATCACATTGGGTAAGTAAAGGGCGGATTAGCGTTCTGCATCCACACACATCAAATGTCGCTTGCGTTTGGTCGCTAACCAGTTTTGCTGGTATGCTTCTGTTGTTGTGGAATTTCTAGGGACGCACAGCAGTTTCCAGCCAAAGCGCTAGGGGGAGCCTATTCGAGAATTCGCGAGACCTTCAGCGTATAGTCACGAAAACAACTTTGGCGGTGCCGGCAGGAGTGTTTATTTTCCAAAACAGCTTGTCTGAGGCATCGTACAAGTGGTTGTACTTCCGAACTTCCTCGATCAACCTTTTGTGGTGGTTATCCGTTGTTGTTCTTACTCTTTGGTGTTTAAAAATGCCGCGCCCCAGCACCGATTTGAGAAGGACGACCACACAGACAGCCGGAAAGGCATACCAAGGACCAATCACAGCTGCTTTTTGTCTGCAGTGATATAAAGTATAGCTGTGTCCCGACTGCATAATTCTAGTAACTACTGTACTGTTGTCGTTTGAAAAAGTTCAGTCTAGGCAACTGGACGTGAAGTTTTCTAGATGATGTTTCCCCTCTCATCCAAGAGGCTTCTTCAGTTCTAACTGGTGGTGGGAGCACTGAGAGTAATATAGGTTGTAGGTCTAACAAAGAATTAGGGGGGACAAAAGGTGGCTTTGATCTCTCCAACTGGATTGGCGAAGGAGGTCACCTGGGGGTTGTTGAGGGCGAATTATACTTCTGCAACCGCACACATCAAATGAACCAGTTTTGCTGGTATACTTCTGCAATGTCGGTCTGGAATTTCTAGGGATGCACAGCAGTTTCCCGCCAAAGTGCTTGGGGGAGCCTATTCGAGAACTCGCGAGAAATCCTACTCCGGCGGGAGTGTTTATATTCCAAAACAACATGTCTGAGGCATTGTACAAGTGGTTGTACTTCCGAACCTCCTCGATCAACCTTTCGTCGTGGTTATTCATTGTTGGTATTACTCCTAGGTTTTCAAAAATGGAGAAGGACAACCACACAGACAGCCGGAAAGGCATACCAAGGACCAGTCACAGCTGCTTTTTGTCTGCGCACTTCCGCTTGAGGTCTGCGCCGGTTCGCGACCGTCCAAATCGTAGTCAGGATTTTTTTGAAGTGCGCAATGACGGTTGTAGAACCTCTGCGTGGGGGGGCGTGGTCGCATAGAGACAGACTTGACAGTTGGAGAGTCTATGTGTCAGAAGTATAAATTGGCCTTTAATGGTCGTTAGGTGGTTCTGATGGGTCTTTAACTCCCTCATTAGAGTGGTTTTGGTCACATCCCTTATTGAACTGTGAGTCAGGTGAGGGCGGGTGAGAGGTGCATCTTCTCAGTATGATTCATAAAAGTGCTTTGTAGGTGGGTGAAAGGTTATGTCTAAGACCTCCTCCTCTATTATGAGATGATTATTCCAGGTTAACAAAGGTTAACAAAGATGGCTCTCTTAATCCCTCGCTTAAACAATCTTTCTTCCTATGCAGTTTATGTTGTTATTTTTCATAATCTGAGTAAGGGGGAGCACGTAGGTGTTGAATAAGAGGAGCCCTAAGATGGACCCTTGGGGAATGCCACATGCGATTTCTCTGGTCTCTGATAGATATAAATCTACCTACTCACACATAATGACACTGTCCCTTAAGTGGGATTTAAACCAGTCCAGTGCTTTACCAGAACCAACCAAGTTTTCCAGGCATGCTCATAAATTTGTGTGTTTAACAGTGTTTAATGCTGCACTGATGTCCAATAACAGCTCTGTGGTTCTTCTACAGTCTGCATTTATATGTATGTGACTGAACACACAAGGTCAGTCTCTGTACTGCGGTGAGCGTGGAGGCCTGGCTAGAAGACGTCAAAGTAGCTGGTTAATGTTAGAAAAGTATTTGAGAATCTTACTGATGAATAAGGAGGTTTGAGATAGGCCTTTAGTTCTGCAATAGTCGTTTTTTCCAAGTTGTTATTTTTCTTAAAAAATTATAACTCGTTTGCAAATTGTTAACCTAAATGCTTTCTTTCAATTTATATTTTACCAATAAAATTCATTCATATAAGCAGGTGCAACTAGTGAACATTTATGTAATTCTGATTAGTCTAAACAGATACAAAAACTTGCATTTAGGTGGCTAAAGGTCAATATTCAGTATAGATGGAGCACACAGAAAACCTGATTTTTCTTTATAATGTGCCATGCTTGCTGTTTGGCATAAAAAAGCTCAAAGTATGAGAGTAAAAGAATCTCACAGAAGAAGATACAAAAATTTAGTTGGAAAGACTAGATTTAGGAACGGTTGTTTCTCTTATTTAATTAATATTCAAAATCCAGATTTATTAATTGTGAATTTTGTTTAAAAAATACTAAATATAAGATTATATAATTGCTCTTTGCTGTCTGACTGACCAATTTGTTACTAGAAAAGTGTGTTTAAGGTTTTTGCAAAAACAGTGAAAATGATTATATGAAATTTTATTAAAACTTACGTTTTTAAAAAAAACACCCTTTCTTTTGTCTCCTCTCCTCCATAGATACATTGACTCCGGCCTCCAGTCCATTGTCTGGGGTGTGTGGAGGGTTGCTTTGTCCAGATGAGGGTCCAAGCCCCCTTAACGTTGAGTGCAGGGTGTGCTCAGACAAAGCTTCAGGCTTTCATTATGGAGTGCATGCATGTGAGGGCTGCAAGGTAAGAAATACTGAGTTTTACATAGCACCAGCAGTTCAAGTAAAGTGTTGGAAAAGAATGTCCCAAACATTATAAAGCATTTGTATGTACACAAACACCTTCATCCAAACAAAAGCCAGCTCTGTTTTGCAGAGGTGTTTGACCTCGAGGCCAAGTGGAAGGTTTCTGCAGCATGCAGGCAGAGGAGTCATGTGAGGTGGTTACGTGGCGCCCTTGGTTCACTTGTCACCTCTTACATACATGGAGAGCGGTCCTCAGTGTGGATAGTTTGGCTCAGCAAGATGCCTAAGTGTGGTTAGAGAACACAATGTAACAGTTTGAGCTGCAGTCATTAGATCCCTGTGCAAGTATGTTAAAACCAGCACAGCGAAACACTGCAGCGTTTGTCTTTGATGTGACTTTGTCATGGAACAAAACACTTTTCATTATTAATCCAAAACCTACAGTATAATTTTTCCATCTGCTTAAAGGTTTCTCATGTTTTACAAAGGAACATAATCATTTATCTTTTTTTTTTGATTGCCGTTTCACGTTTAATTTAGTCTCAAGCCAATTTGCACCAAAGACACAGACACAAAGATAATAGGCTTGTCACGATGCAAATATGTCAAACTAAGTTTCGATACTCAGGAAAATATTGGATACTCGATACCATTTTTGATATCATGTTGGATAAAAAGTGCCAATTAATTTAAGGCTTAAAGTAGTATACTTGAAAAACTCTACTTTTTCAATCTCAACATGGAGTATGCTTTCTCAAGAGAATCACACATTATTTTAGTTAAACAAACGTGAAACATAGTGTAAAATAAATAGTGCAAATATAACACAATTTGACAATATTCTAAGGTTTTGAGGGTATTGTTTTTTTGTGTGCAAAATAACCTAGAAATTTAAAACTAGTTGAAAAAATACGGGGGGGGAAAACTGAGTTACTATTGTATCTGGATACAGAGTTTGAGTATCGATAGTTTGAAAAGTATCAATACTCACTTTTTAAAACCCTACAAGATAATGGTTTGCATTTTATGCCATCTGTTCTGCTTTTGTTCGATTGTATTTGTTACATGACACATTTATCAGATCTACAGCAAAAATTATGATGACCTCCACATTCATTTAAAATATAAAGATGGGCCATCTCTCTAAATCCGTTTACTTTCTGCCTACTTTAAAAACAAAGAATAAGGCCACTAAAGCCTAAAAATAGTCTTAAAGTATAAAGATTTGGTTTATTAAAATGATATATTCTTAATAACCTAATCATATAGTGGGAAGAAAATCCTTAAGAAAAAACTTTGGTTTTTATATTATTTTGATAAAAATCACTTGAAAAAATAAATGTATATATATATATATATATATATATAGCTAATCTTGAAGGTCGAAATTAGCATTTTACAACTTGGATGATTTACCTCTATTATAAGTTAAGAGCTGAGATTAATTTCCCCTTTATCTGTATTTTAGGCTTTCCAAATAGACTTAAAAACTTTAGTGTGCCATCCTCAACCTTATTTTTTAACCCTCCACAATTGGTCCTTTCATTATGTAACCGAGACACTGTTATGTATGGATGGTTACACAGGATGTTACTGGCAGTTTGAACTGTTTCAAATAATAAAATGTTTTAAGTTCATCCTCAATGTGAGTTTTAGCATGAAAACAATCTGAAAAGCATTAATATTGATGCATTTCAGCCTACTGTTGTTCAATTTAATTCAGTTCAATTCAAAATGGCTTTAGCAATCCTAAAGGAAAAATGAAATGTTGGAACTTGGGTTGTCGTAATTGTTGATAGCTGTAGGAAGGAAGGATCTTCTGCAGTTTATTTATATAGCGCCAATTCACAACACGTCATCTCAAGGCACTTTACAATTCAACTAGATTATACAGTCAAACTCAAAGTTTTCTGTCTAAGGAAAACCAGCTGATTGCATCGACTCATTGACTCAAAGGCAATAACTAAAACCAAGCATGCTACTAGCGACAGTGGAGAGGAAAAACTCCCTTTTAACAGGAAGAAACCTCCAGCAGAACCAGGCTCAGTGTGAGTGGCCATCTGCCGAGGCCGACTGGGGTTCAAGGAGACAGAAGCAGACATACAGAAAGAAGCAGAGATACAAAAGGCAACTGTCAACCAGCTCCACAGGCGGCCTCGACCAGGAAACACACAGCCAGACAGACAAGCTCTGAGCCAGCTCCCATGTCAGAGGATGAAAGAGAGCACATACAGTTAGTCACAGTCAGAGGAACAGTACTACACTGAAAAACAGGCCTAGCTCCAACATCCACAAACAAAGACGTTGATGGCTGCAGCACAGCTGATATTTCTCTCCAGGATGGGGTCACAGCCAAACAGGAACAGACCAGATGAAGCTACTATGAGAAAAAGCAGAGAGAGCTTAGCATTAGAGATTGAACTAACAAATTCTGCAGAATGGGAGAATAGAGATAGAATGAAGCAGAATGGGGAAAAAGGGTCCCTATGTCCTCCAGCAGTCTAACCCTATAGCAGCATAACTATAGAGATAGCTCAGGATAACCTTAGCCTCTCTAACTATAAGTTTAATCAAAAAGGAAAGTTTTAAGCCTAAAGTAGACAGGGGGTCTGCCTCATAGACTAAAAGTGGTAGTTGGTTCCACAGGAGAGGAGCCTGATAACTAAAAGATCTGCCTCCCATTCTAATGTCTTCTGTGGTGGGAAAGTGAGGGTTAGTACGATCAGAGAATTAAACCAGAAGCTTTTTCACATGAACTGAATAATGGAGCCTAAAGAGGCAACTGGTATAAATAGAGAAAAATCCATTTTGCAGGTTGAGTAATGGTAAGGGCAGTATGGGGAAAGAAGAAAAAATCATTCCTTTGAGGTTTTTTGAATACGCCTAATGGCAGCAATTTTTGGACAATAATATGTGTTCAGTTCAAAAGGCTAATTGGTAACTTTTTTTCTATGGTGGTGTGGTTTAAAGATCCACCAGTGGGTCCACAGCTTCCCATGATCCCATGATTAAGTAGACACGCTTCCCAGCTGAACTTTTGAGGTTTCTCTATAGATTTCGCTTTATGCCTTTCACTTGCCTTGAATAACTCTTATCTTATATTGCCGTCATGCAGCTGCTTGTCTTGGCATGCAGTCCACTGTGTCATATGCTGCTGCACCAAATTTGGTACATGGTGACGTGGAACCTGAAGCTGTTAGAGGGGTTCTGGGATGGATGACACTTTGCTTCTACATTCTCTGGCTGATATTGTGCCATCATGGAAAAATCCTGCATGCTGGCTCTGCCTGCTCTCTGGATCTTTTTTCTGTCACCTTACATTTGACAATAGGTGTTCTAATAACATGTTTATAGAGTTATGAATTTGTACTGGCGGTAAAAGTAGATATTTATTCAGGTTCGCATTATATTTAGGAACAAAAATGCGTAGTGGATTAAATTATTACGCTCTGAATTTATCTGTCATTTAACAAAAAAGAAATGTCCTCTTGAGGAACTTTTAACCTTAAAGGTGAAATGTTTAATTTAAATCTTTGTACCTGCTTCTTGTTTTCTTTGTTCCTCTAGTACACGTGTATGTTTGGATAACCACACATTCATCCTACTCTTCCCCACCTCAGTTGCTGTACTCTGCTTTTAAATTACTATCATAAGGGGAACTTTATGTTTTGGCCTCCACCTTTAACTGCATTCATGAAGATTTCACCCAGTTCTCCCTCAAAACCAGATGTCCCTGGTTAGAAACGACACAAAAATGTGATATGTGACACATAATAACCTTTAATAGCAATGTGCCAAAGCTGCTCCTCAGCATAAATGCAGCCAAGATGTTGTGCAGGATGATGGCTGGTGTATTTTTATGAGCATGTGGCTCCAGACATAATGCCAGAAAATTTATTTTCCCCTACTTGACAGTGAGGGTTGCAGATTGTCCCACATGATGTTTCATTGATGTGTGCGGGTGAGAGTAAATCAGAGGATCATATGTTTTGACATATGTGTGGCATCTGTTTGCTTGTGTTGGCTCAGAGCCGGAGTGAATGTTGCAGGGTTGTCATCCTGTCTTACACAATCAAGGACCTTTTTTCGTAAAGGTTGTTGTTTACTTATTTCTACTTTGATTTGAATGATTGACTTCAAAACAGGATGAAGGGACAGGGCAGTAAGCGGTGCATGATAATCCCTTTAAATTAACATAAACAAGCTTCAAAAAATGTTTAATTGTTTAAAGTATGGTAAGAATAAATTCTAATGTGCATTGATGCTTGTTTGTGAAGTTCTTGGCCTACATCATCAATATACAATAGGCAACAGGTGCACTGCTTAACAAATTAGGAAATGCGCTGCACTGCAAAGAAAAATAAAGCTGAAATCACAGAAATTAGAAGAAGGAAAATGCAGCAAATAAATCTTTGGCGTCATGTCAATGTCCTTACTGAGGGTCTTGTTTAGTTCCACATGGAGGTCAACTGCCCCCAATATTCAGGTGCGGTTCTCTTATGTGGAGCAAGCTGGCAGCATTTATTTTAAACTTACAGTTTTCAGTATTTATAGCATTTTCTTATTTTAGCTTCATGTTTTTTTAGTGTTTTGATATTGAAGCCTTTTTTTTCCGGATGCATGACGCATTTAGTGCGTTTGAGCCCACAGGCCAAAACGTCATGTAACTCTCCACCTGAAAACATCATTGCCCTCAGTGAAACATGGTAGTGGCAGCATCATGAATAGGTGGACAGTTTTGTAGTTCGTGCAATCCTGGAAGAAAATCAGTTTGATGCCCAGAACAAACAGTTTGCTATGTATTCATTTTATTTGTAAATAAAAATAAATCAGAAATTAGGTATTTATTGCTTTCCACTTGATGCAAACATTTAAATCATAAAATAAAATAAAAAAATCCAGCTAGTTTCATGAGGAAATTATATCTTAACCGCTTAATTTTCTCATGGTACAGCAGACTAATCTTTAGTGGTTAGGGTGTAGGGCTTGGAATCCTGAGGTTGTAAGTTCGAAACCCACTCCCACAGACTGCCACTCTGGCTCTCTGAGCACGACCCTTAGCCAACCCCCGATTGCTCCTCAGGCGCCCCACAATAGCAGCCCACTGCTCCCCAAAGGGGATTGTTTAAATGCAGAGTTCAATTTTTTTTTGTTACTACTTTACGCAGCTTACCCATAGCAGGTTCACAAACCAGAAAATCAACTTACTAATTAAGAAAATACTTCTTATGTTTTTTTTAAGCCAAAAAAAAAAAATGTTTTTACTTGGAGTGGCTGCAAGAGCTACATTAAATGTGTCTGTATATCCGTGTGTATGGGCTGGTTCTTTTTTGTTGTTTATTTTTAATGAAAATATAACTTAGCAGCAATCTTTTTTTATTTTTCAATCAGGGTTTCTTTAGGAGGACCATCAGACTAAAGCTGGAATACGATAAGTGTGACCGCAACTGTAAAGTCCTGAAGAAGAATCGGAACAAATGCCAGTACTGCAGGTTCCAAAAGTGTCTGTCTGTGGGGATGTCCCATAATGGTAACGTTTGTTTTAAATCAATCAATCAATCAGTCAATCTATCAATCAGTCAATCTATCAATCAGTCTATCTATCTATCTATCTATCTATCTATCTATCTATCTATCTATCTATCTATCTATCTATCTATCTATCTATCTATCTATCTATCTATGATAAATATATATATATATACATATATATATATATATATATATATATATATATATATATATATATATATATATATATATATATATATATATATATATATATATATATATATATATATATATATATATATATATATATATATCAATCTCAGCATGTATGTGTTGTTAGTTTTTAAGGTAAGAATGTCCCCATGTTTAAAGAATAGAACATTTGTTTTTGGCGCTTCTGGTCTACCGTAGAGACATCCACACATGCATTACTGCTGCAGCATAGACAACATGCTGAAAAGGTTAATAAAATTGGTTAACACAAAATAAAAACTATAAAAGTTTGATTATTTCTTTAATCCCAAGGCAGAATATAGAGTTTGCATCTTCAACATCTAACATAGAGCTCATTCTACAAATAACTTACACAGGTAATTGAGGTTTTGTAGATTAAAATTCCTATTTTTCCCCCCATTTTTTTTTTTGTATGTTGTAATCATTATGTTTTGTTCATTAGTGACCAATTTTTACATTTTCACATTATTTAGTCAATAAATTTAATCGTGAATTAAGATAAAATCTGAGCATCCACGCAGGAGCTAAGCTTTATGAGCTGAACCAACTCAAAGTTCCCATCACTAAAAACTATAGTTGTGGAAAAACAGTTCAGATGTAAAAGCTTTAAGATTTATGAATACAGTCGCATTGACAGCAAAGATCTTTGTCTTTTGTCATCTTTTGCATGTGCTTTTTGCAGCAGTAGAACATGTCCCTCTGTGATTTAGCTCCAGCTTTAACATCCTCTACGCTCATGTTTATTTATAGAAGCATGTCCCGTTACAGCTGGTTCAGAGTAGCTCCACATCTGGTCTGTCACTTGCACTGACTGCAGAGGGGTCAACGGGTTTGTTGCACTGACCTCTTAAATCGGGTGGAAACATGAGACTTTGAAGGCATGAGTTTGTTTTTGTTTTTTAAATCGGCTCTGCATCGTACGCATGAAATTGACTGAAAATGATCAATGCTAATATTTTTATCTTTTATGCACTAGCCATCCGGTTTGGTCGCATGCCCCAAGCAGAGAAGATGAAGCTCAAGGAGGAAAGTAAGGTTGTTGAAACAAAAGTAGAAGACGCCATCAAGGACGACCATAAGATTCTGGTCAGACAGATCCATGAAGCCTACCTCAAGAACTTCAACATGAACAAGGCAAAAGCGCGGCTTATACTAACTGGAAAAACCAGCAAGCCGGTAAAAGCAAAAGAAGAGAATTTAACATTTTTATTACCGAACTGGAAATCTTTATTTTGGAATTTCTGAAGTAGGTTTTTGTTAAAAGGTTTTACACACTAATATCTTCCCTGCAGTAAGGATGTATTTTGTGTCTTCCTGTAGCATTAGTAGAAAGTGGAATTCTTCTACACTTTAGGGTTTAAAGTGTCAAGAAACATCCAAACAGTTTATATCAACACAGGAAATGACGTTAGGAGAAGTTGCACCACAAAACATCTTTATAGCTATAAATCAAATGGCTGATATAAAACTATGAAAGTGTAAAAAAAAATCTGACAACTGCCATGGGTAACATATTAACTCTTTAAAGCCAATTGTATCATATTTGATACATAGGTTTTTGAGACCTCTACATCATCAGTGTTATATTTTTATTCTCGAAAACCCTGACTTACACAATAAGTCGCATGTAGGGAGCAGAAAATATTTAAAAGATTATAGAGAAATGCCTTATGTATCAAATTTGATGCAAATAAATAATCTAATTTAACTTTCTTTTTTGATGTCATTTGTTAGAAAGTTCAATGACAATTCTAATAAAGTTTCAATTACTTTATGGTCCAGGCTTTAAAGGGTTAACTGCTTATACATTTTAACAGAACCTCATTTCAAAAATGTTGACCCCTTTAACCTCTCCTAACATTGTCCCCCTTTTTGTTCATTAACAGCCTTTGATCATTCATGACATGGAGACATTTCAGCTTGCTGAGAAGACGTTAGCGGTCCACATGGTGAGGACTGAGTCTGCGGAGTCCAACAGAGACCTTCAAGCTGGGCAGATCATCCCAGCCATGGTGTATAAGGAGCTCCAGCAGAGGGAGGCTGAGGCCAGGCTCTTCTACTGCTGCCAGAGCACGTCGGTGGAGACGGTCACCGAGCTCACAGAGTTCGCTAAGGCCATACCAGACTTTCAAAGCTTGGATCTGAATGATCAGGTAGTTATAGGAATCCTTTTAATGTATTCTGGTGCCTGTCCATCTTTAAGCAAATATTGCTTTTTCTTCCCCTCCGGTTTGAAGGTGACTCTCTTGAAATATGCGGTTTATGAAGCCCTTTTTACCCTTCTGGCCTCATGTATGAACAAAGATGGCCTCCTCGTTGCACGTGGTGGAGGCTTCATCACCCGCGAATTCCTCAAAGGCCTCCGCCGGCCTTTCAGTGACATGATGGAGCCAAAGTTCCAGTTTGCCACTCGCTTCAACTCTCTAGATCTGGATGACAGCGACCTGGCGCTCTTTGTTGCAGCTATTATCTGTTGTGGAGGTAAGCTGCATTGTCATAAGTTTTTCTCTAAACACAGAGGAATGTTGATCAATTGTTCTTCCTTATCAGATCGTCCAGGACTTGTGGATGTACCTTTGGTGGAGCAGCTGCAGGAGAGCATCATCCAGGCTCTACGGCTCCACCTGCTGGCTAACCATCCAGATGACGCTTTCCTCTTCCCCAGACTGCTGCAGAAGCTGGCTGACCTTCGGGAGCTTGTAACAGAGCATGCACAGCTGGTTCAGGACATCAGGACAACAGAGGACACTTCTCTGCACCCACTCCTGCAGGAAATCTACAGAGACATGTACTGATAAAAAGCAGTTTTGAATATTTTGAAAGGGCAGCCTGCACGGCTGGTGGGACCTATCTTTTTTTTTTTTGCACAAAGTCATAAATAAAAGCTAAATATTACAAAAATTACAAATATATATTGAAGCTGGAATATTAATACATTTACGTTAGTAACCGGAAAATATTTAAAGTGATCGAAGCACTGATCTGACCCAAAGAATATAAAAAAAAAATGGATATCCTTCTATGGGGTTAGACTAGTCCTATTTATTGTGTGTATTTATTGAAAGGCTGCCTATTTTAAGATTTAATGTTTTAGAAATACCAGAATCTGGGCTGTTAATATACGCTGCTTGAGACCAGATTAAATAAAAATATTTTTATTATATACAGCAGTTTATGATGTTACAAATTTATATTGAAATTACATTATATAAAAAAAAAATCATACCTCTCCATAGCTTTTTATAATTGATTTTTTTCAGGTTTCTAATCTGCACAGTAGATTATATCTTTGCGTAAATCACACCCCTTGCCAGTAATAAATATTTTCACTAAAAATAGTCTCATAACTTTGATCGTTTAGAATTTTGTAAATATAACAAGAATTCAGTGACGGCAGCTAAAGATTGTAAAGTAGCTACCAAATAAGGAAAATTTATACATCATGTGGTTATTTCAAAGTTTGAAATAATCTTGTATTTTGTAATAAAATTCTTTATATTTTTAAAAAATCATGTACAGTCCGAGCTATTATTTCAGTTAAACTTTTATTCTCTAGAAGTGTTATATAAATTAAAGCATTTAATGATTTCTTCTTCAATGCTGTGAAATGTACATTCATGTAGCTGCATGCTGAAGATACAGGTTATGTTTTTATGTCTTTTGTGTGTTTTTTTCTGTTCATAATGAGTAAGATAAACTGTTTTTTTTTCCTAATTCTTACATTGATTTCTGTTTTTATACATATTTGTTTTGCAGATAAAATATAAATCATTTAATGTGGGTTTTGTATTTACTGATAAATCATGGATGGGGCTCCAAATTGACAGAGCAAACAGATGTATCAATAAACTGGTGTATAAAGCTTGTTTGTGTCAGCCTGTCTCCAGAAAAATAAATATGAGCACTTACACAATATTATGCTGCATGCATTAATTGAATTGTATTTAACTAGTATTTAAGGGCCAATAATGAATAAATTAAACTACATTTCTCAGGTTTTCAAACTGTTGATTGAATCTCCAAAAAACATAGGCACAATCAATCTCTTTTTTGCATTTTAATGTATTTTGTGGAAATATTTTAGTGTTTTTAGACTTACCAGCAGTTTTTGTAATTTTGATATGAATATTTTTTCTTGCCTTGGTTTAAATCATGCCTCACAGGAGGTAGTTTTATTTTTTCATTTTAGTTGGGGGGGATTTTTAAGGCCCAAAGCTGTTTATGCTGCCCCTTGGGTTCATTTCTAGGAAGAAAAGTGTTTGTTTTTTTGTGTTTTTTGTTTTACTTTTGGCTGCTAAATCTGGAAATTCAGTAACATTCTATTGTGTTTTTGTTGGTTGTTGTAAATAACCCATGTTGTTGCTCTTAAATGAGGTGAGGAAATAACTTTAACATTAATATATTGTGATGTCATTTGTATTTTTTTTTTCTTTATCTGTATTTATTTTTCCCTCTATTTTTTCCAGCTCTGAGCTATTTAATATTACTTGTTTTTTCTTGTTTATTATTTATAATATTTATTAACTTTGTGTTTCTGAGACCTTTCCCTGGAATTTAATTATTTCTAGCTAAAATTATTATTATTTTTTTATTATTACTATTTATATTCACAACTCGGTGCCACCCCAGGCCAGTGGGTGGCGCTACTGTCTTACAGAACAGGATGGGTTTTTAGTCAAACCATTCTAGTATAGCTCTTCTTTAAACGATGGAACAAACTTCAATTGAAACCCCTCAAAGCACATTCTGTTGCCAGCTATGTGGTTTAAGCTCCCTTTTTACTTACTACGGCCAGAAACCACCCAACACCAGAGCCATTGTGTAAGTTTAAATGAAGTGAACCGCTCATTTTGGTGCTAGCGCTAGCTCATGCTAAAGCTAACGTTACTTTAGCTGTGGTGGGTGTTTGAGTTCAGCTCCTCCTGACGTCTCTGTATAGTTTTCAGTGCGCTGTCTAAGTCCAGTAGTATATTTTATAATTACATTGTTTCCAATAATAGTAACGTGTTAAGTATTTAAGCTAAGTGTTGTTTCTACCCTTAATCAGGTTGCTGGAGGAATGTTTCGTAGCTAAAGACCCCTTCAGTCCAGAAAAGGAGAAGTTTCTGGTGTTGGGATCCACATGCAGCTTGTGCAACATCTGTGTCTGTGTTGGACCGGTAAGATTTTTAAACATCACACACACACACAATTTGAATGCATCTATCTGTTTGTAAATAAAGTGGGGATGTTTTTCCTGCTTATTTTATATCTATTTTATTATCTAGAGTTGTGGATGATACAAATTATCTACGGAAGAGGATAAGGGCCATTAAAAAAAACAACAAAAAAGTTAACTGATTTTTAAATTTAATTCAGTGTAATTTGTGATAAAATTTAGAATACGGACTTTAATCTAAGAATTCTGACAATTTTTCTTAGAATTCTGATTTTTTTTTTCTCAGAATACTGATTTTTTTTCTAAGAATTCTGACTTTAATCTCAGAATTCAGAATTTAATGTCAGAATTCTGTTTATTTTTCTCAGAATTTATTACTTTTTTTCCTCAATATTCTGACTTTAATCTCAAAATTTTAACTTTTTTCTCTCAGAATTCTGACTTTAATCTCGGAATTCCGACTTTAATCTCGGAATTTTGGATCTTAATGTAGATGGAAACCTTGAAGGAAGAGCACTCAGGTTAACTGAAAAAGATGTGAGTTGATTGGGAGGGCCAGTAACACATTGGTGGAAAATGACGGGATTAGGCGACTTTTTACGTGCCCGATGGGTCCCTGGTGATGCTGTTTCATTAATGGAGGAGCCGAAGGTTATTAAAACAAGAGAGCTAGTCTCTAAAACAGACATGGCTACAGCTTGATGCTAACATGTTTGTTAGCTTTCAGAATTCTGAGATTAAAGTTAGAATTCTGACTTTTTTCCCATATTAAACTGAAATAATATTTTATTAATTTATTTTTTTCAGCTGCCCTAATCCTCCTACGTAACTATCTCACTCTTTTGAATATGGTTAATTAAAAACTGCTATTTTGTAGCTGTGTGGCATATTTGCACATCCCTGTTGAGAAATGTCTTTGATATTAATTCCATTTTCTTAAGCTTACGGCAAGAATTGAAATTAAAACCTTGATATTTTGCTTTTCTTTTGTGCAGGACTGCAGCCTTTTCTACACAAAGAGGTTTTGCATGAAGTGTGTAAACAGGCACCTGGACCACTTTCCTCAGCAGATCCAGGCTGAACTGGCTAAGAAGAAACAGAGTTCTAATCCAAGTGTCTCATGACAAACAGGGTCCTCAAAAAAATAAAAATAAATAAATAGTCGTGAGTGGAACAAAATGTTCAGTCCTAGAGGAACTGAAGCTGAATGCATTCGTTAAAGGACACTAATCTAGGTTGCTGCGGTATTCTGCTCCTTGATATTTGTTTATTGTGAAGATATTCAGGGCTGGGTAGTGTGATAACACCTTCAGTGCTGTTGCTACCATGAAAATGCTTCATGCAGCTGGTTCATATGTTTGGGACCAAGTAGCTGGAAAAAAACAGATTTTCTACCTTTTTAAATAATTCACACCCTTTAAACTTTTTCACATCTAATCTAGACAAAAAAAAAACCTGATTAATTCAAATTTAGATTCTGTTTGATAAATTAAAACTAAACACATTATTGCGTCATAAAACGATGCATTTTCTTTTGAAATTAATGATGGAAAGGTGAAACATGCTTTTGTATTTCAGCCCACTTTAAGCTGATACCTCAAAATAAAATTCCAGTCCAACAGGCACCTTTAGAGATCACCTAGCTGGCAAGTGCTCCTACAAAGATACCCCTTGTACATTTTACCCAGAATGCATCCTGCTGTCAGGATGCATCGCTAGTGATAGAGGATTTATAAGAATGTGGAAAAAATACAAAGTTCTTTTACACCAATTGTTGCTTTTTAGTGTCTTTCCTGTTGCTTTAACCTCCTAACAGCAATATTTTCCGGCTGTGATGCCTTTTGAGACCCTTATCGAACACCCTCTCGCCTTTTTGCTTACTTTTCCACCCAACCGAAGCAATCAAAGGTCTGTTTCCCGTCCGAATCTCGCTCGGCATGAGGCCGTGCACAGTTTACGGCAGCACAAACACATTATGGATTAAGTGCGATCCTACCCGATAACATCTATATAACAGATGGCCCCAGCTGCCTTTATCACGAGATGTTTTGAGCCTCGGCGAGGGTTAATTGAAACAGCATGGCCTCGAAGGCAGGCTTAACTCCCTCTTCTTCTTTTTTCATTGCTGGCAATAAGCCGCAGAGGAATCCAGATGATAATCACTGGGGAGTGGATGTTGGGACATTGTAAAACGTATGCGAAGAAACATTTTAGCAGATTTTATTTTACTGGTTTGAAAAAAAAATCTGTGCTTTCAGCATGGAAAGAAAGCCATGACGATGAGGCGTTTTGCTATAAATCTAACTCCACCTGCTTTACCTCACCCCTCCCCTTGGTGTTTAAATTTTAAGCCCACATTAGCAATTACACCCAGTGAAGCACGCAAACCGCACCAGTGCCAAAGTCTGACACGATAGGCACCGAGCCAACAATGACGGCAGGCCTCCCTTCACAGCTGATGTCATTGGAGTTAGAGGTGAAGCCTTTTTTTCTGATCTCGTGGAAAAAGAAAAAAAAACAGAAAAAACCCTCCCTAGATTGACCCTATAAGCTTCAGCTCAGCGCTGATTGAATCAAAGGTACTGTTTATGTGATAGCAAATAGCTGTGTTAAGTGTCAGCTCGCATGCACTGATTGCATGATTGATTCATGTGATAGCGGGTCCCGCCTGGAGTGAGGCTTCGACGAACTACTACTACTACTACTACTGCAGGAGTTATCACGTGTTCGCTGCCTGTTTCATCCTGCAGGAGCATGAAGCTGCAAATGCCAGTCTATTTAAAGAAACAACGGAGCCCTGCCAAAAAATATTCACACCGAGGGATATAATTTCCACATTTCAACCACGATCTTCTGCCTCTTTTATTGGGAGTGTTATAAACCAACACATTGTGACTTGGATTTGTCAAGTGGATTGAAATAAGCTGGTTTTCAACCTTTTTTATTTATTTTAAATCTGTATTTAACATCATCCTGAAAAACACTATCTGCATCCTGAAGCACGGTGGTGGAAGTGTCATCCTTTATTTCCATTGGGGAAGCCATAAATGTAAATAAAAGACAGATATTCGTCCTGTACGGTATAGATCTAGCCTTGGTGGTGGGAAAGAAAATGCAAAAAAAGAAAAGGGAACTAAATAATTGATAATTGAACTTTATTAATCTGACATTGGAGAAACTAACCTTTGCATTTAATCCATCCCCTTGGGGAGCAGTGTGACAAGAAATGATGGGAGGGTTTAATCTGCTTTATGTGACTTTCATCATCCCCACTCATAAACATGGTGGTGGCTGCATTATGTTTAATAGATTCTGGGTTTTAAACATAAAGCATAGCAGATTCCACTCCTTTGCACCTTTTTCCTGTGATGGTCAATCACATATAATCCTATTGGAATCTGAGTGTTTGGACTTTTTTTCAGTTAGTTTTGCACGGCCTAATGAAAAAAAGGGGGAAAAAATGAGCAGAGGAGCTCATATTCGCAGGGCAGCTCCGGCTCAGATCTGCAGTTGTTGTTCCCTCTGCTGTGCTAAGGATGGGGCGGGGCGCCTACAGCGACGAATCGCTTCTCTGTTTAAATAGTCAGGTTTCCTCCTTCGCTCACAGCTCTACGCCATGTTGGCTGTTTTGGCTTGTTTTCATGAGACTTTTACTACGAACCTGACAGGAGTGGCTGCATGAAAACATCCCCCCCTTTTCTCTTGGAGACATTCTGTTTTTTATTAACGCGTAATTTGGATGATCGGCGCAGGAAGGACGCATGGTGACTTTTCATTTGGAGGGAATACTACTTTGGAATAACAATCTTTAAAGGGACCCACGCCTCATTTTTTTTTTTTTTTTTTTTTCTTGCTGCGGTTTCTTTGGTTTTCTGTCGTCTTATGTGCAACAAGATGTCAGAGGTTCGGCTTTCTAACGCGAGTCCCACGGTGGAGCGCGTGGACGCGCGGCAGCCGGACAGCACCAGGTCGGTGCGCAGGGTGCTGTTCGGCACACCTGACCCGGAGGAGACGCGCAGGCAGGCGGAGGCTCTGCAGCAGCAAGCCGTGGACGATTTCACGGAGAGGTACAACTTCGATCCGGTGGAGGACAGGCCGCTCTCTCCGGGGGAGTACGACTGGCAGGAGGACGGAGACGCGCCGGAGTTTTACCGGAGGCCGCCCCGGGGGAGCAGGCCGCCCAGCGGGGAGGCTGCATACACTTCTAACGGTTCACGGAAACGACCTGCAGGTGAGGAAAAAAAAAACATCCTCCAATAAAACTCTGCACCTTTTTAGCGCAATTTTACCGAAATTAAGAGAAAATGGATGCAATCTATTTTTTATCGTTTAAAATGTTCAGTTTGCAAACAAGTGTTGCGTTTTTTCTTCATGCAATCTTATTCATCTGACAGTTTCTTAATTGTTTATGGGGTTTTTGCATCTGCAGGGAATTGCTCTGAGGACTGCACGAGTCAAAAGAAAAAGTCGCATTCCGATGAAGACGACGACGATAAAGGTGCAGGAAGCCAAAGAGTGCAGAGAGCCAGCAGGCCAGAGGAGGAGGACCCGAGCCCCCCGGTGCCAGGTTAGAAACCATTTTCTCTCCTCTGCGCTTTGAACAGCTGCTGTCCTCCTAAAGGGGGCTCATATGCATCAAGATCAGCAGCACTTATCCTCTCTATAGCTCTGAATCTTTCCCTTTTCTCTGTGCGCATCAATAAGCAATTGCATTTTTTTTTTCTTCTTTGCATCCCACAGCGCAATGAGACCTGTCGCCTGTGGAACACCGTGGGCTTCCTCACCATCTGACAGAAGACGTGGAGAGAAACATAGAAAAACAAAGCAGCTTTATCCCAGAAGGGAGGAGGAGGAGGAGGAGGCTGCACAAGCACTGAATATGTACACTATCGACTTTTGGCACTCTTATTTTTCTATGATAAAAATGCCTCAAAAGCAGCAGACAATTGTAGCAGTGTGCAAATTGATTTTTGCTCATATTTTTATATATATAAATATATATATATATATACTACCTATGTTTCAGATGTAGCAAATAATTGGTTTTAATACCTTTTTTTTCTGTAAAATATGTCTGTGTGACTTTGACTTGGGGAACTGCAGTGCAATTCCCATCAGATAAATTTGAAAGTTATTTAGTATAAAAAAAATGCTAATTTGTGTCATTATTCAGGTATTTTTATGTTTCGTTTTATTGTAGAAAAAGAAAAATACAGATTTCAAACATCAGGGTTACGTGGATACAAAATGTTAACTTTTTCTACGGTGTTGTTATTGAAGGCCCGCATGCTTCCCACTTTAAATTTGTGGATCCATGCAACTGGGAACAGGCATGATAGATAAAGTTTACAGCCTTATTCCCTATTTTTTTATTTTTTTCCAAATGGGATCAGGTCGGGAGGGGGTCGAAATTCTGCCTTTTTATTTTGGGCTTTTTTTCTCTTTCTCTCCTGTGGTTAAAACTGCTGAGCAATATTCATCATTCTTTGAAAAAGAATCCTAAAAGTTGGATTTAAATTTCTAAAATTCTTCCATGCACCCCCCTCCAAACGTAGGTTTGCTCCAGGGTAACATAGGCGGACAAAAACGTATAAACCACTGGGCTTTCTTTATGCAAATATGTGAATCAAAGAATCATGTTTGTGGTGTAAAATTCATGTGGAACATGGAATTGATTGCACTATTCATTTCATATTTTCCATGAGGGCAGAAATACAAAGTGACCCCCCCCCCCCCCCCAACTCTGCATAAAACATTGAAGTGTTTATTTTTGTTTTTCAAAAACACTGTAAGACTATACTAACTTATTTATGTCTGTTTTTTGTGGGTTAATGTTTAGCTTCCCAAAGCAAAATTTTGTGCATTATTGTAAATATATATTTTCATTGTTTTGTGTTTTTTTGTGTGTTTTTTTTTTCTAAGATGAATAAATAAATTTGCTAAACTGAGCCAAATAATTGCAATGGTCTATTTTTTTCATGTGCAAAACAAAGTTAAGTTAAATTGCTGCACATTTGTGACATTAGTAGTTTTTTTTTGTTTTTTTTCTTCTGACTAGAAAGATGGAAGTTGTTTGTTTGCAAATCTGTGTGGTGCAGAGGAAGTTCAGAAAGGGGTTAGCGGAAAAGGAAAGGATCCTTTTCGGACTATAAAGGAAAAGTGTACATTTTGTGCAAAGGAACGACAGGAGAGTGCTGGTCGTGACTGCTGAATCCCTTCGGTCTGCAGTTAAAAAACAACAGGGGTATGTCCTGAGGAAAGAAGGGGAAAAAAAGAGAGGGAAGAAAAGTTTCCTTTTATTGGCATTCCCAGGCTCCAATCAGAGCAGAGTGAAGAAAAGCAGACCACTTAGCTAGCAGCCAGTTAGAGCAGTGGGAGGGAACCAAAGGACAGTACAGGCTGTTCTTTTCATAAGGCACACACCACCAACCAATTAGTTTCATTGGCTGACTCTTTCCTGTTGATACAAGTGTGTAGGAGTCAAGTATAGAGAGAGCTCCTCTAATGATAACTCACACTGGCTTTGAGTGTCTGCAGGATTTACAAGCAAGCTCATATATATTTATCACCATTTTCACCTTTTGGCAGCAAATATTCACACTTTTTGACCCCGTACTCCAATGCAACAGTCACTTTGCAAAAGTGCATTCTGGACATCTTATTGGACGAGAGTATATTGCAACCTCAGCATCTGCTTTATGCCTTCTTCTTTCTTCTTGGTAATAAAACTCAAATTTCTGGTGTTGATCCGTATTCTAATGCTGCAGAGCTCTGCAAGGCAGGGAGATCTTTGCTGAAAAGTCTCAAAACAGGTCACATATCTGACCCTCTTTTTACCATTATGTCTATGCATGTACCTGTTTAAGATAAAGAAATCCTCATATAAAGAAACCAATATTATTTTCACACCACTGTATTTTTAGGAGCACTTATTAATGCTGTCTGTTAATATTGTAAAGCAATAGAATATATACAAGCTATTTATGTTGATCTGTAAAGGCTTGCATAAAACAAAAGTTTACTCACATATGTCAATATTTTCTCAAATTATTATTTTTCTCAACATATTAAATGTTATGGCTTGTAGATATTGTTTCCATATACTCAATTATCTCTTTAAAGCAATAATCTGGGTAAGAACAGCAGAAACGTGTATTTTTAATAAAAGATTAAAGGCTTGGGGGATCTTCACATCTCTAAGCCTCTAAGATTTTGTCTTTTATTAATAAGCAACAAAAATCACACCATCTCTTCTGTAGCCATGGTAACCACAGATATAGTGAACGCTCAGGGCCAGCCCAGGGTCGAATGAGCCAAACTAAATATTTTGGATAGTATACATTTGAGATAGAAGGCTAAACCTACAGAAAATAATCACAAAGATATATATTTTTTGGATAAGATAACTCGAATAGGTTTAAAATGATGTCATTTGGCCGCAGCAGCAGCCATCAGTTCTTTTGAGAAGGCTGTCAGTATTTTTATATGACTGTGGAGGAGCTTTTTCAAACCCTAATTTTCAGATTTGTTTCTTTTAAATTTCAGTCTCATTGACGTCATACCACGGAATCTCAATTGCATTTCAGGGTAGACTTTAACTAGGCCACTTCAAAACCTTCATTTAGGTTTATTTGAGCCACTTTTTGATGTTGAATAGATTAGTTACCTGCTGCATTACCAAAGTGATGGCTGGAATAGATTTTGTCATAGTAGAATATAAGTCAATTACAGCTTTCTGACAAGTTCCTGAAGCTTTTGTGAAGTCTCAGACTACAGCACTGCCTCCACCATGTTTGACTGTCAGTATGATGGAAATCTGTGTTAGTATTGGGTCAGATGTAACAGGACACCTTCTAGATATTTCCACTTTTGTCTTGCAGTCTCCCATGGAGGCCATTTTCTCTCTGTAGCCTATAGTTACATCATGAACTCTTACTTTAACTGGGGCAAGGGAAGCCTGCAGTGCTTTAGATGTTCTTATATTGGTTATCTTCGGCAGATCTTCTCATACCAGCAATGACACCGCATGTCGAGAGGTAGACAGGCCTTGACCAGCGCTTTGAAAAGTTAATTTAGTTCCTGTACACACTGGGTCGCTTTAAACAACCCTTAGTTTGCCTCTGAATTAAAGAAACATCTCTGGATTTGCTGCATGAAATAACAGTAAAAAGAAAAATATTCTGTCTTTGCACCTGCAAATGTTTTATTTTCATATAGTTACCACTGTAACCTTACCCTTCATAATTACGTGCCCTACTGTAAGTTTGAAAAGAAAGTGATACAATCCAAAGAGAAAAGAAAAGGAAACAGGGAACGGTGGAGGAAATGAGGAAGAATGGGAAATGCTCTTTGGTTACGTTTTGCCACAGCTGAGCCAATTAAGATCCAGCTTTGGAAGTAAAAACGTGAATCTAAGAAAACAAAAAAATATTGTTCTCTTTACACATTTGAGGTTTTTTGATCTTGACTTATGAGTTTTGCAGCTTGCCTGTGCATATCTCAGATGCTGGCTTTCCTGCTGGTTCAGTGCTGGAGTGTTTAGTTTGACTTGCAGCAGGGGTCACCAATACTATGCAGGCCTGCTTCTCTGCTCACGGAAACAAACGCTCTGGGACAAGCTGTAGATAGTTTACCCAAAACAAAAAGGAACAGTTCAGCTCTATTTGAACTTTTCTACAAATACATTGATTTATATCCATTCATTTGATTACGAGTATATCTTTTACAAAGAATAATTGCAATGCTGTGATTTTTGCTTTTGTCATGCCTTAATTCGTTTAACTAACAAATAAATTGAATCAGACAAAGACAAACAGATTAAAATTTAAATGTAGCTTTCTTTACACTAGATTCAATTGCTCACCAACTCACAAAAACATCCACCACTAGGGGTGGTAAGCTACATTGCAGGCACAGCTACCTGGGGAACACTAAGCATGAAAGCCCTACAATCGACGCTATTATGCCCTCTGACCATCAACAGCAGGATGGGGGGTGGATGGGTCAACACCAGGGGTGCTCAAGTCCAGTCCTCAAGAGCTACTATCCTGCAACTTTTTAATGCTACCATTTTTAACCCACCTGAATCAAATGAGTGGCTCGTTACCACACCTCTGCTGAGCTAAATGAGGGGATTGAGGCTTTAGATTCAGGTGTGCTAGAGAAGAGATGCATCTAAAAGTTGCAAAATGGTAGCTCTTGAGGACTTGAGACCCCTGGTCTACCCCAAGGACACAGCAACTTAGACGGATGAGGTAGGCATATGAAAAAGTGACATATGAGACCTTGATCTGAAGGAATCCATGGTCAGACTTGAAGCAGGGTTGCTACCATTGACCCAGTGGTGGTTCTAGACCCAGTTTGTCAGGGAGCCAGATGGGGCCAGTGTATTTATTAAGAAGATTTTTTTGAGCTAAACATAAAGCCCCTGTCACACCTTATGCCAAAAATGCTGGCATATGTTGGATAAGTTATGGCTAAGTTGCGTATAAGTTATGAGCAAGCTGGCACAAGTCGACAAACGACAAGTACTTCAAAAAATTTTGAGCATGCTAAAAATTTCCCGATGTATGCATGCATATGCTATACTTGGGCCATAAGTTATAGGTACCGGTAAGTTATCTGATCGTTGACATACGTTAAGTTTAAGTAACCTATAAGTCATAGCTTCTAGCTTATCCAAAACCTATGAGTAAGTTGTGCATACTGTAACTTCTGGGTAACTGATCAAGAACTTATCTCCAACACATATTATTTGACGTGTTCCAGACAACTGCTGAATGTGTTTCTAACTTAAAGCAACTGTTTAATGGCGTACTGGCAGCATTTTGGTATAAAAGGGGATTCACAGGAGGAAACAGTCAGTATTGCTCTAGACTTCATCCCCATCATAGGGCGAGCGAGAAGGAGAGTGTGATGGATTCTCCCTGCGTTCATGCCCACAGCCACGACCAACAAACTTTCTAGCAGACATGACGCAGAATCTGCTGCTACTGCAAACCTTTCTTTATTTTTATTTATTCTTTTTTTCATTTATTTATTTATTTTGCATGTAGTAAACAGCAGCTAGATTGATGCCGAAATCAAATAAGCCTCCGGGCGCATTGCTTCCCCCCTCAGGACACTGGCTTGTGCATCATTTCATTGATATTATGCTGCCGTGCGTTATGCGTAAGTTAGGCTGTTGTTGGGCATACGCTCTGGACTCTTTATGAATACTCTATTTATACGCCCAAAATTAAACACTGCATAGAAAGGTAAGAGTATACCAGCATTTTAGAGGATTCTGGGACATCAGTCATATGCTGGCTATATCGTCAAGGTGTGAGAGGGGCTTAAGCAAACAATAGATGTGTTTTAATCAGCTTTTTGACATATTGCATCAGAAAATCTTAATAGAAACAGTGAAATTAGAAAGAAAGACTACAGTACTTCAAATTTGGAAAAAGTTTTACATTCGCTTGAGGTGGTTTTTGGCTTTTGCAAAAAATCTAT